TGATTGGTCCGGTCTCTCTCACGGGGCGGGCTCCTCTTACCAACGTGTAACCCTGTGGGAGAGGTTTAGCGGGCTGTGTTACCCGGTGGAAATCATTTTACTTATCTGGACCTCCTTTAAAGAAAGGAGGTATTAAGACCTATCCCGAGGCTGGGCGCGGTGGCTCACACCTGTAGTCCCAGCACTTTGGGAGACCGAGGTGAGTGGATCACCTGAGGTCAGGAGTTCAAGACCAGCCTAGCCAACACGGTGAAACCCCATCTCTACTAAAAATACAAAAATTAGCTGGGCCTGGTGGTGGGCACTTGTAGTCCCAGCTACTCGGGAAGCTGAGGCAGGAGACTCGCTTGAACCCAGGAGGCAGAGGTTGCAGTGAGCCAAGATTACGTCACTGCACTCCAGCCTGGGCGACAGAGTGAGACTCTGTCTCAATTTAAAAAAAAAAAAGGCCAGGCGCGGTGGCTCACGCCTGTAATCCCAACACTTTGGGAAGCCAAGAATGGATAATCTTTCTAAAAAATGGTGCTGGAGTAATTATAAATCCACATGCAATAAAGTGAACCTCAACTGTTATCTCATACCTCATACAAAAAGTAATCTGAAATGAATCATAGGCTTTCTAAACATAAGATTAAACCACAAAATTTCTACAAGAAAATATAGGTAAAATCTTAGTGACTTTGGGTTTGGCAAAGACTTCTTGAATATGAAAGAAAAAGCACAAACTATTAACAAGAGAAAAAAATAAATAAACTAGACACATCATTAAAATGAAAAACTTTTGGTTTTGAAAGACAGTTATAAAAACAAAAAAGGCAGGCCAAACTGGGAGAAAATATATGCAAAACTTCTGATAATGGACTTGAATATATAAACAACTCTTAGAATGCAATAATAAAAAACAATCTAATAAAAAGGGGCAAATGATTTTAACAAACATGTCATCAAAGACACACGGATGGCAAATAAGCACATGAAAATATGCCAACATTATTGGTCACTCAAAAAAATACAAACTAAACCCACGATAAGATACTGTTAAACTCACTATAATGGCTAAAATTTTAAAAGACTGACCACACAGGCCGGGCGCGGTGGCTCAAGCCTGTAATCCCAGCACTTTGGGAGGCCGAGACGGGCGGATCACGAGGTCAGGAGATCGAGTCCATCCTGGCTAACACGGTGAAACCCCGTCTCTACTAAAAAAAATACAAAAAACTAGCCAGGCGAGGTGGCGGGCGCCTGTAGTCCCAGCTACTCGGGAGGCTGAGGCAGGAGAATGGCGTAAACCCGGGAGGCGGAGCTTGCAGTGAGCTGAGATCCGGCCACTGCACTCCAGCCCCGGCGACAGAGCGAGACTCCGTCTCAAAAAAAAAAAAAAAAGACTGACCACACATCAAATGATGGTGAGGGTGTACAGCAACTAGAACTATCAAACACTGCTGGTAAGAATGTAATGGTAGAATCACTTGAGAAAACAGTTTGGGTGTTTCTTAAAGATAGATCTATACCTACCATATGATCTAGCCATTCCACTCCTAGGTATGAACCCAAAAAATGGAAATGAATGCCCATATAAAGACTTGTACACAAATATTCATGGCAGCTTTATTTGTAAGCCAAAAACTGGAAACCCAAATGGATAAACAAATTATGATATATCTACATCATGAAATGTCATTCACTAACAAAAAGAATGAACTATTAATACACGTGGTAACATGCATGAATCTCAAAATAATTACACTGAATCAAAGAAACTATACAAAGAGAAATAGTACTTACTGTATGATTGTATTTAGATAATATTCTACAAAATGCAACCCATCTTCAGTGACAGAAAGCAGATTAATGATTGCTGGGGAGGGAATGAAGTACAAAGGCACATGAGGAAACTTTGAGGTGATGAATATGCTCATTATCTTGATTGTGATAATGGTTTATAGGTGTATACATATGTAGAAATTCATAATTGTTACTTTAAAGTTATGTGCAGTTTCCTGTATGTCAATTAGACCTTCAAGTAATGTTTCTTATAGCTTTAAGAAAAACCTGGGTCAAAAGAGCAAGAGTCAATGATATTCTAAGTTCAATTAATGAAAACCAAATTATTTGGAAGGATAATCCTTCTTCTTAATTCAGTCAACAATACTTGGGCATGTAATATTGCTGGGCACAATCAAGACACTGTGATTATAATAAGAATGAGCTAAGACCACATGGACAATGTCAAATTGAAGCAGAGAACTTAAGAAGTCAAGCCAAAACAACAACAACAACAACAACAACAACAGGGGAAAAGCACTCTAGGGCAGAGGCAACAGTAAGTTCAAACAGATCACGAGGTCAGGAGTTCGAGACCAGCCTGGTCAACATGGTGAAACCCTGTCTCTACTAAAAATACAAAAATTAGGCGGGTGCGGTGTAATCCCAGCTACTTGGGAGGCTGAGGCAGGAGAATTGCTTGAAACCATAAGGCAGAGGTTGCGGTGAGCCAAAAAATCGTGCCACTGCACTCCAGCCCGGACAAAAGAGCAAAACAAACAAAAAAAAGTGACCTCTTACTTGGTTCAGCCTCTTGTCACCAACTAACTCTCTTGTGCCCTCTACCGCTCAGGTGATTTCATTTAAATGCAGTTCAACTCAGAAAATAAAGGGAAACATTCCTAGATTTTAGTAATCTACATCACCCTGCTCTATTCTATCATCGAGCCCTATTCCATTCTTGGCCCTGTGACCAGCATACAGGACACAGAGGTCACAGTCTGGTGGGGGATACAGACTTCATGCCATTATTGGTATGACAAGAAACATTCCTGGAACAGGAATGACTTTGAGCCAGGCACTCTGCCAAGCACACTGTATACATGAACTTGTAGTCCTTCTGACAGCCATTACAAATGGATCTGCATTTACAGAAGAAGATTCAGACTCACAAACATGATTGGTTTAAGGTCACAATTTAATAAACATGGAACATGGATTCTGAACTAAGATCTGTCCCCCCTCCAAAGCCAATTCTTTCTTTCCTACTACACTATACCAAAATAAACCAAGTGGTGTGGAACACCGAAATGGGAGCGTCTAAATCTAATTTGAATGTGTGTGGTTGTTGTGTCTGGGAAGACTTTACATAGAAGAGTATTTCTGATTTGGGTCAAAAAGGGTGGTCCAGGCATCAAGAGCAGAGGTAAACAGGAAGACAAACTTGAGATCTATTCAGAGAACAGAAGGTTGGTGGGATGTGGGGGAAGAGAGGCAGAATATAAGGCTAGAATCAGATTGCACAGGATCTTGAAGGCCATCCTAAAGAAGATGACCTCAAACCAAAGTTCAAGGATTCCCATCCTGGGTCATGGGATTCCCATACTGAAGAGTCCCCTAAGGTGATCAGGGTACGAGAAACCACAGGTAAATGTGGTATATTGTCTGAAATGTCAATTTTACTCAAAGGCTTAGGGGGAAAAGGCAATTTTCTGTTATCCTATGAAAGATGTATTATGGGGAATTGAATGTAAAATCATATGAATTTAAAAAATAAAACAGGAATTTCAGACATTATTGGCTGCCCTCCAATAAATACGTAGTTGGAAATAGTCCATTCTTTGCTGCCATTGGGGATAGCTTAGTAATGGAGCCATTTGGAAAGCATTGTTATAGGCAATGGGAAGTCATGGATTTAGCTCCATTGAGAATTCAAAAGTAGGGCTGGATGGGATTCAAAGATGAATGGGAAGTCGGCCGGGCGTGGTGGCTTACACCTGTAATCCCAGCACTTTGGGAGGCCGAGGCCAGCAGACCACCTGAGGTCAGGAGTTCGACACCAGCCTGGCCAATATGGTGAAACCCTGTCTCTACTAAAAATACAAAAAAAATTAGCCAGGCATGGTGGTGGGCGCCTGTAATCCCAGCTACTCAGGAGGCTGAGGCACGAGAATCACTTGGACCTGGGAGGCAGAGGTTGCAGTAAGCTGAGACGGCGCTATTGCACTTCAGCCTGGGCAACAAGAACAAAACCCTGTCTCAAAAAAAAAAAAAAAAAAAAAAAAAAAAAAAAAAAGATGAATAGGAAGTCACTGTCTTAGGAGAACTTTCCATCTAGGCTTTATGGAACTGATGATTCTTAGCAGGAACAGGAGCAGGAAAACAAAGCAAAAAGTAGGTAAACTTCCTCTCCTCCCCGTCTCCTTGACATGTTCCTTTTCTATCTCATTCATTTTTTTTTTTTTTTAAGACGGAGTTTTGCTCTTGTCGCCCAGGCTGGAATGCAATGGTGCAATTTCGGCTCACATGCAACCTCCACCTCCCAGGTTAAAGCAATTCTCCTGCCTTAGCCTCCCGAAGAGCTAGGATTACAGGTGTGCGCCCTGTAATTCTGTATTTTTAGTAGAGACCCCTGCTAATTTTGTATTTTTAGTAGAAACAGAGTTTCACTAGATTGGCCAGGCTGGTCTCGAACTCTTGACCTCAGGTGATCCACCCGCCTCGGCCTCCCAAAGTGCTGGGATTACAGGCGTGAACCACCGCGCCCGGCCTCATTCATTTATTCATTAAAAAAAAAAATTCATTGCATACCAACTTCCTCACTGTGTGACCTCAGATAAATTAATTTCTCTGTACTTTAGTTTTCTTATCTGTAGAACGGGGATAATAATAATACCTTCCCCCAGTGTCACTGTGAGTGTAAGTTTACAGTGACATGATATATAATGAGAATTAAATGAGTTAATTCATATAAAGCTCTTAGAGCCTGGAACAAAGTTCAGCACTGTTTGAGTACTAGGTGTTACAACAGTGACGTTGCTACACCCTTCACTGCTACTGTGTTCCAGTTAACCTCTCCCACAGCCATTCATTGCTTAGGTAATTCATACTGGTGGCCAAGACAGGTCTGGGAAGAAGAGAGATGAATCAGACTGCCCACTGCACTTTGTCCAGCTACACCTGGCACATATAGAAGGTCCTCTAAATGCTTGCTGAATGGATAAGCGAATGTCTTCCTATTGAACTCCAAGTTCTTTGAAGGCAGGGACTATATTCCTAGCTGTCATAACCCTAGAACAATGCACCTGGTGAGGCACACTGTAGGCGCTGAGGAATTATACATGGATAAATGACTGCAGGTGGAAAACCACTAAGGCTACAAAGCGAGCATTGATAAGGTGCTGCAGAGAGACCGCTCCCAGTTTCAGGAAGGGGGTTAGCCTTGGAAGCGTGGCTGCCCAACGGCGCGAGGGCTGCTGGGAAAGGCAGACTCGCCTGGCTCGCCCGGGGATCCCGGGAGAGTGCCGCGGGCTGCGTCAGCCCCATGCCCCGCCCCCTCCGCCGGCTCACGTGACCGTCTCTGGGCAGCGCAAACCATGGCCGGCTTGGTGGACTTCCAGGATGAGGAGGAGGTTAAGTCCTTTTTGGAGAACTTGGAGGTGGAGTGCAACTACCACTGCTACCACGAGAAGGACCCGGACGGTGAGCGCCTCCAACGCAGCCCGGCGACGCGTCGGGGAGAGGCGTGCCGGGAGAGGTCGGGTCTGCGACCTCTGAGAGGCTGGAGAAGGAATCACGTGGCTGGCGGGGGACGGGGGTCTGTGGATCGCGGTGACTGCGTGTGTTGGGAAGGGCGATGTGTCCCGGGAAGACCGAGCCTGGAGGCCGGGGCGGGTAGGAAGAGACGTGCTGGGGCTTTTGGGTTAGGGACTGGGGATCTATAGGTGAACAGATGAAATTCGCTGCCCTCGTGGAGCTTCTAAGCTAGTGCGGGGAGTCGGGCAATTAAGCCTCAGGTAATTCATGAAATCGTGTTCGAAAGTAGTAAGTACCTGCCGGGCGCGGTGGTTCACGCCTGTAATCCCAGCACTTTGGGAGGCCGAGGCGGGTGGATCACGAGGTCAGGAGATCGAGACCGTCCTGGCTAACACGGTGAAACCCTGTCTCTACTAAAAATACAAAAAATTAGCCAGGCGTGGTGGCAGGCGCCTGTAGTCCCAGCTACTTGGGAGGCTGAGGCAGGAGAATGGCGTGAACCCGGAAGGCGGAGCTTGCAGTGAGCGGAGATCGCTCCACTGCACTCCAGCCTGGGGGACAGAGCGAGACTCTGTCTCAATAAATAAATAAATAAATAAGTAAATAAATAAGTAAGTAAATAAATAAATAAAGTAGTAAGTGCCGTGGAAAAAGGACTGGGTGAAGGGTATCAGGAGGGCAGAAGGGCAGTTTTAAATTGAGTGATCAGGGAAGATCACTGAGAAAGTGGCAATTGAATAAAGGCTTGAAGAAGGTAAGGGAGTGAACCATGATGCAGATCTTACCATAGATAACAGCTGGCAAAGAGGCCCTGAAGCACAAATGTGTCCCTTGTGTTGTGTGAACACTGAATTGACTTGAGAGTATAGGTGGATGGTGATGACCAGAGGGACCCACCCAGAGCAGCCAGTAGCTTTCGGTGGTTTTCTTCTTCCTGCTTTATTTTTATTTTTTATATTTTCTTTCTTTTTTAAGATAGTATCTCACTATGTTGTCCAGGCTGGTCGCAACTCCTGGGCTCAAGTGATCCTTCCGTTTTTTTTTTTTTGTTTTTTCGAGACTGAGTCTCACGCTGTCACCCAGGTTGGAGTACAGTGCCTCCATCTCAGCTCACTGCAACCTCTGCCTCCTAGGTTAAAGCAATTCTCCTGCCTCAGCCGCCTGAGTAGCTGGAATTACAGGCTCCCACCACCACGCCCAGCTAACTTTTGTATTTTAGTAGAGACAGGGTTTCACCATGTTAGCCAGGCTGGTCTCAAACTCCTGACCTCAAGCAATCCATCTTCCTTGGCCTCCCAAAGTGCTGGGATTACAGGTGTGAGCCACTGTGCCCAGCGTTTTTTTTTCTTTCTTTCAAATAAAGGTCTGGTGTGGCACAAGCCCATAATCCCAGTTCTCTGGGAGGCTGAGGTGAGGCAGGAGGATCGTGTGAGGCCAGGATTTCAAGACCAGCCTGGGCAACATGGTGAAACCCTGTCTCTACTAAAAAAAGAAAAAGAAAAAAGTGACACTGGCCCTACCTTCCAATAGCTTGCAGTTTAGTTTGCAGAAATGACATAGCTATTCCTTGAAGCTAATCCATAACATAGACCATAATGTAACCATATACATATCATAACATAGTCATGAAACAGAGTTGCTCTGCAGTATGATGGCTTAAAAAGAACCTGGGGTTGGGCCGAGCACGATGGCTCATGCCTGTAATCCCAGCACTTTGGGAGGCCGAGGTGGGCAGATCACTTGAGGTCAGGAGTTCAAGACTAGCCTGACCAATATGATGAAACTCTGTCTCTACTAAAAATATAAAAATTAGCCAGATGTGGTGGCATGTGCCTGTAATCCCGGCTACTGGGGAGGCTGAGACAGGAGAACTGCTTGAACCCAGGAGGCGGAGGTTGCAGTGAGCCGAGATCACACCATTGCACTCCAGCCTGGGCAACAAGAGCAAAATAACGTCTCAAAAAAAAAAAAAAAAAAAAAAGAACCCGGCGTTGTTCTTTGAGAGCTGGTCCATGTCCTAAGTGTAGAAAGAACTTAGAGGAATTGGGGTCACTAAGGAACAGGGTGGTTAGGGAAGACTTTGAAGGGAGGTCTGGAGGGCTGGGCAAGTGTTGATTAAATGGAGGAGAGGGTGGGAGAAGAAAGTGCTATCTTTTGGAAGGTTGAAGTCAGGATGTAGTACATTTGAAGCGGGAGTCTGGGCCACAGTATGTCGGGGCTTGAATGCCAGAGTAAGGAATATAGACTTTGCTCTGTAGGCAATGGAGAGCAAAACATGTCAGACAAGCAAGTTATTGGAATCGGGAAGGGTAGATATATCAAAAGGACTGGCTGCAGCACTTTAGGAGACCTGAGAAGAGGCTGTAGTTACCATAGCGACTGGTGTAGTAGTTTCCTTGCATGTCAGGCTCTCTTATCTGGATAACTGAAGTTGCCTTCTAACCTGTCCCTGTCTTTGCACTTTACTCCCTTAAAATCCATTTCTACTCACAGATAAACTGATATTTTAATTTTAATTTTGTTATGTTAAATATTAGATTTTAAAATAACATATTTGTTATCAATGCCCAATTATATGCCCTCACATACTTAAATTCCTGCATACTCACCCAGGCATATATGAACATATATACCAGAGTAACGTTTTTGTTGGGGGGTGGGGTTGTTGTTTTTGGTGACTTTTTGGTTGTTTTTTGAGACAGGGTCTTACTCTGTTGCCCAGGCTGGAGTGCAGTGGTACAATCTTGGCTCACTGCAACCTCTTCCTCCCATGTTCAAGCACTTCTGCCCCAGCCTCCCAAGTAGCTGGGATTACAGGCATGTGCCACCACACCTGGCTTTTTTTTTTTTTTTTTTCCTGAGACTGAGTCTTGCTCTGTTGCCCATGCTTAAGTGCAGTGGCATGATATCAGCTCACTGTAACCTTAGCCTCCTGGGTTCAAGTGATTCTCCTGCCTCAGCCTCCCGAGTAGCTGGAATTACAAGTGTGCGCCACCAAGCCTGGCTAATTTTTGTATTTTTAGTAGAGACAGGATTTCACCATGTTGGCCAGGCTGGTCTTGAACTCATGACCTCAAGTGATCTACCCTCCTTGGCCTCCCAAAATGCTGGGATTACAGGCATGAGCCACCACACCTGGCCTGAATCATATTACTTATTTTCTTAAAACCCTCCAGTGGTTTACTGTTTCAGTTGGAAAAAAATCATAACTGCATCCTATGTTTCACAAGGCCTGGGGTCTCGTCCCTACCTTCCTTCTTCATTTCCTGACCCTCCTCCTTGGTTCAGCCATATTGTACCTTATTCATGCCAAACTTATTCTCTCTTTCAGGTCTTTGTATTTACTGTTCCTTGTGCCAGGACTTTGTGCCCCTGCCCATTTTATTGTCTTTTAATTTCATTTTTTTTTTAATTTTTAAATTTGTTCCAAATCCCTGCCCCACTCCCATTCCATTGTCTTTAAATAGCTAGTACTTTCTTGTTATTGAGGTCACAGCCCCTCCCCAGTGGCCCAGTCTTTGTTAGCTTCACCCAAAGTTGACAGCAAACAGTTATCCTGTTTTATTTCAGTCATAGCATTTATTTATTTATTTATTTGTATACATTTAAGGAGTACAAGTGCAGTTTTGTTACATGGATATATTGCCTGGTTGTGAAGTCTGGGCTTGTTTTTTTTTTGAGACAGAGTTCCGCTCTTGTTGCCCAGGCTGGAGTGCAATGGCCCATCTCGGCTCACCGCAATCTCTGCCTCCTGAGTTGAAGTGATTCTCTGCCTCAGCCTCCCAGGTAGCTGGGATTATAGGCATGCACCACCATGCACGGCTAATATTTTTGTATTTTTAGTAGAGACAGGGTTTCTCCATGTCAGGCTGGTCTAGAATTCCTGACCTCAGGTGATCTGCCTGCCTCGGCCTCCCAAATTGCTGGGGAAGTCGGGGCTTTTAATATAACCATCACCCAAATAATGTACTTGTACCTGTTAGGTAATTTCTTCCTCCCACCCTTCCCAATCTCCAGTGTCTATTATTCCACACTCTCTGTGTCCATGTGTACACAGTATTTAGCTCCCACTTATAAGTGAGGACATGCAGTATTTCACTTCCTGTTTCTGAGTTGTTATAATCATAACATTTATTACTGTTTGAATAAATTTTGTTCATTTACTTATTGTATTTCCTCCCCTAGAATGTAAATTTTAGGAGGGCAGATGAGTATATTCTCAGCATCTAGAACCATGTCTGGTACATAGATGCATAGAGATGCTCAAATATTTGTTGAGTGAAAATGAATGAGAGATACATGTTGTCACCAGGGGTTAAGGAGAGGGGAGAGGGGAACATCACACACCGGGGCCTATCATGGGGAGGGGGGAGGGGGGAGGGATTGCATTGGGAGTTATACCTGATGTAAATGACGAGTTGATGGGTGCAGCACACCAACATGGCACAAGTATACATATGTAGCAAACCTGCACGTTGTGCACATGTACCCTACAACTTGAAGTTTAATAATAATAAATAAATTAAAAAATAAAAAAAAATAAAAAAAAAAAAAAAGAAGAGGGGAGAGAGATTAAGGAGAGAGGTTTACTGGGATTGGGAGACTGCCAAGGAAGTGGAGCCTGTTTCCATAGAAGCGGCCACCTCTACTCTTTCTTTTTGGCTTTCATGTTCCTACCCTAGCTGAGGAGTAAGGTATAGTCATCACAGCACCCTTTTCTTTTTCTTTTTTTTTTTTTTTTTAAGACAGAGTCTCGCTGTGTCACCCAGGCTGGAGTGCAGTGGCACGATCTCGACTCACTGCAACCTCTGCCCCCTGGATTCAAGTGATTTTCCTGCCTTAGCCTCCCAGATAGCTGGGGTTACAGGTGTGTGCCACCACACCTGGCTAATTTTTTAATATTTTTCCACTCCTGGATAATTTTTTTGTATTTTTAGTAGAGACAGGGTTTCACCCTGTCCAGGCTGGTCTCAAACTCCAGACCTCAAGTGATCCTCCTGCCTCAGCCTCCCTAAGTGCTGGGATTACAGATATAAGCTACCAAGCCTGACCCAGCACCATTTTCTTGCTGCTACAAAGACTAGTCTATGAGCCTTTTAGGTTTTCATTGTTTTTACCATTGAACTTCATGAGAGATTCCAAAACTAGCAAAGTTTCAATCATGGAAGTCAGTGGGTATTTGGGCGTGGCTGACAGGGAGCAGAAGGGCTGGTGAGTGATGGAGCCAATGCAGGGACTGAGGTTTCCCCAGGCCATACATTGCTCAGTCCATGGCTATGGGGAGACAATGTCATTTGTAGGTATGACTAAACACCACCTACATTCTTTGTGGTAAGGTCAACTTGCGACATCTCAGGAGGACATGGGCTGTCTTAAAAGACATAGCCTGGCCTGCCACACCTGGGCACCCCCTACCCCAAGCCCCCACTGTGAAGCAGCAGCCCCAGACATGAAGAACAGCCCTTGCCCTCTCTTCACAGGTTGCTATCGGCTGGTGGACTATTTGGAAGGGATCCAGAAGAATTTTGATGAGGCTGCCAAGGTGTTGAAGTTTAACTGTGAAGAGAACCAGCACAGCGATAGTTGCTACAAACTGGGGGCCTACTATGTGACTGGAAAAGGTAAGGATAAGGAGGGTCTGCTTTTTGGATCCTTGTCACTGATAGCAGTGCTGGCCTCACACCTGAGCCCCATGATGAGCTCTTGCAGAAGGGTCTCGCAGGCATTGGGCAAGTGCATTGTAGGAAGATGGAGAGGTAGGAGTTCAGCAGAGCGATGTGGGGAAGAACACAGCCTTTCAAGTTAGGTAAACCTTAGGGAATGCTATTTGCAAATAGTGGGATCTTGAGCCAATCACTTCAACTCTGTGCACTCAGTTACATCACCTGTAAATTGGAGGGAACTAGTACTTGCTTTGTAGGGTCGTGAGGATTAAATAGGATAGTATAGAAAAAGGCATCAGCATGTGCCTGGCACGGAGTAAGGAGTCAGTAATTATAATTGTCTTGCTTCTGTCTTTTCTCCTACTCTAATTGTAGTTATCACTGGCATAGTGTTTACATTATGTATGGCTAAATAACAGATCACCTCAGTAGTTTCTGTGGGTCAAGAATTTGGGAGTGGTTTAGTGGGGGTACCTCAGGGTGTCTCATGAGGTTATAGTCAGATATGAGCCATGGAACCAGGGCTATAGTCATTGGAAGGCTTGACTGAAGTTGGAGTTTCCAGTTCTAAGATAACTCACTCTGATGGCTGGTAACAGAGGCCTCTGTTCCTTACCAGCTGTTATTGGGAGAGCTCAGATCGTCATGACATGGTTCTCTCCATGGGCTGCTTGAGTGTCCTCATGACATGGCATCTGGCTTCCCCCAGAGTAAGTAATTTAAAGGAGAGAACAAGATAGAATCCACAGTGTCTTCTATGACCTATCTTTGGAAGTCACACGCTTTTCATTTCTATCACATATTTATTAGATGTAGCCTACACTAAGGGAAAGGACTTAAATTCCACTTCTTAAAGAGGAAGGAATATTAAAGAACTTATGGACATATTTAAAACCACCACAGGCCAGGCACGGTGGGTCACACCTGTAATCCCAACACTTTGGGAGGCCAAGGCAGGTGGATCACGAGGTCAGGAGTTCAAAACCAGCCTCACCAACATGGTGAAACCCCGTCTCTACTAAAAATACAAAAAAAAAAAAAAATTAGCTGGACGTGGTGGCACACACCTGTAATCCCAGTGACTCAGGAGGCTGAGGCAGGAGAATCACTTGAACCCTGGAGGCAGAGGTTGCAGTGAGCCAAGATCATGCCACTGCACTCCAGCCTGGGCAACAGAGCAAGACTCCGTCTCACAAAAAACAAACAAACAAAACAAAACAAAAAAAAACCAACACAAATAAGCAATAGGACCTTTGACAGGCAGCTTTTTTTTTTTTTTTTTTTTTTTTTTTTACAGGGTCTTGTTCTGTTTCTCAGACTGGAGTGCAGTGATAAAATCATAACTCACTGCAGCCTTGAGCTCCTGGGCTCAAGCAATCCTCCTGCCTCAGCCTCCCCAGTAGCTGGAACTAAAGGCACATGCCCCCATGCTTGGCTAATTTTTCACTTTTTGTAGAGACAGGATCTCACTATGTTGCCAGGCTGGTCTCAAACTCCTGGCCTCAAGCAGTCCTTGCACCTTGGCCTCCCAAAGTGCTAGGGTCAGGTGTGAGCCACTGCACCTGGCCAAAGATGTCTTTTTTTTTTTTGAGACCGGGTCCCACTCTGTCGCCCAGGCTGGAGTGCAGTGGCATGATCTCGGCTCACCACAACCCCTGCCTGCCAGGCTCAAGTGATTCTCCTGCCTCAATCTTCTGAGTAGCTGGGATTACAGGGGTGTGTGACACTACCACCCAGCTAATTTTTATATTTTTAGTAGAGATGAGGTTTCGCCATGTTGGCCAGGCTAGTCTTGAACTAACTTCAAATGATCCACCCGCCTCGGCCTCCCAAAATGCTGGGGTTACAGGTGTGAGCCACTGTGCCCAGCTCCACTTTAATTTTTTAAACTAAATTTTAGGCGAGGTGCAGTGGCTCACTTGAGCCGAGGAGGTGGAGGCTGCAGTGAGCTGAGATTGCTCCACTGCACTCCAGCCTGGGCCACAGAGCAAGACTCTGTCTCTAAATAAATAAATGAAAATAAAAATGATTCTAACCTTTTAATATTTTTTCTAAACTCTCAATAGCCCTAGTGGCTCATTTAGGAAATTTCACTATGGGCTAGAAATAGTAATTTGTAGGTCAGCAGTTTCCTTAGTTTCGTTTCAATTTGGTTTTCTTCTGATAACTTCAAGTAAAATCAAAGTTAAATTCTTTACTTACAAATAGCATCTGTGATCCAATTTTTCCAAATGCTTCTATCTAGTATGTATTCAACCAGCCAGCATTTGATGTGAACACAAGCTACAAAGATGACTGGAATGGTGTTCACTTAATGATAATGATGGTTATTACTAGATGGTGGATTTGGAATGGTTACTTAAAAGAATAATGTTAAAATGTTTATATTTTTTGAGATCGAGTAATGGTACATGGGGATTTGAAGTTTTGCACACATACAAACAAGTAAAAAAAGTGAGCCCTGCCACCACTTCTACTTAAAAGTGTTTGTTAGTGATTTCCCATTGTTTTTAAGATTAAATTCAGGGGTCCTTAATGTGACCCTGCATGATCTGGTCCCTGCTTGCCTGTCTTGCACTGTACTTTTCCTCCATGCTCTTTTCACAATTAAAATCATCTTTTTTTTTTTTTGGTGAGACAGGGTCTCACTCTATTGCTGAGGCTGAGTGCAGTGGCTCAATCATAGCTCACAGCAGCCTTGACCTCAAGCGATCCTCCCACCTCAGCCTCCTGAGTAGCTGAGCTGTTTTTGATTATTTTGTAGAGATGCGGTCTGGCTATGTTGCCCAGGCTAGTTGCAAACTCCTGTATGCAAGTGATCCTCCTGCCTTGGCCTACCAAAGTGCTGAGATTACAGGCCTGAGCCACCACGCCCAGCGAAAATCATACATTTATTTGTATTGTTATTTATTTATTTAGAGGTGAGGTCTTGCACTCTTGCTCAGGCTAGAGTGCAGCGGTGCAAAACTTCCAGGCTGAAGCAGTCCTCTTGCCTCAGCCTCTCCAGCTGGGACTACAGGCCCGTGCCCCCATGCATGGCTAATTTTAAATTTTTTTATAGAGACAGAGTCTCACTATGCTGCCCAGGCTGATCTTGAACTCCTGGCCTCCTGAGGTCCTCCTGCCTGGGCCTCTCAAAGTGCTGGGATTACTGGCTACCGTGCCTGGCCTGTATGGTTATTTAATGTCTGTCTCATTAGCCCATAAGACAGGTCTCATTAGGCCTCAGAAGCAAGACAGTGTCGTTTGTTCCCCAGGACCTAGCACAGCAATTGGCAACTATTCAGTATACAGTTGTCCCTCAGTATATTTGGGAAATTCGTTCCAGGACCCTCATTCCATTCTGCCACAGATAACGAAGTCTGATGATGCTCACATCTGTTATATAAAAATGGCATAGTATTTGCATATAACCCTACCCATATTCTTCTGTGTATTTTGTTTTATTTTTTGTTTGTTTATTTGTTTGTATATTTTGAGATGGAGTCTTGCTCAGTTGCACAGGCTGGAGTGCAGTGGCACGATCTCAGCTCACTACAACCTCTGCCTCCTGGTTTCAAGCAGTTTTCCTGCCTCAGCCTCCCTAGTAGCTGGGATTATAGGCATCCACCATCATGCCCAGCTGATTTTTTTTTTTTTTTTTTTTGAGACAGAGTTATGCTCTGTCGTCCAGGCTGGAGTGCAGGAGCCTCCAGGGTTCATGCCATTCTTCTGCCTCAGCCTCCCCGAGTAGCTGGCATTACAGGCCCCTCCCACCATACCCAGGTAATTTTTTTGTATTTTTAGTAGAGACGGGGTTTCACCATGTTGGCCAGGCTGGTCTTGAACACCTGACCTTGTGATCCACCCACCTCGGCCTCCCAAAGTGCTGGGATTACAGGCATGGGCCACCGCACCTAGCCTAATTTTTGTATTTTTGTAGAGAGAGGATTTCACCATGTTGGCCAGGCTGGCCTTGAACCTCCTGATCTCAGGTGATCCGCCCACCTTGGCCTCCCAAAGTGCTGGGATTACAGGCGAGAGCTACTGCACCTGACCTCCTGTGTATTGTAAATTAATTACTTAGAACAGGGGTGTTCAATCTTTTTGCTTCCCTGGGCCACACTGTAAGAAGAATTGTCTTGGACCATATATAAAATACAGTAACGATAGCTGATGAGCTAAAAAAAAAAATCACAAAAAAAATTTCATAGGCCAGGTGCAGTGGCTCACGCCTGTAATCCCAGCATTTTTCCCAGCATTTTGGGAGGCTGAGGCAGGTGGATCACAAGGTCAGGAGTTTGAGACCAGCCTGACCAACATGGTGAAACCCCGTCTCTACTGAAAACACAAAAATTAGCCCAGCGTGGTGGCTCGCCTGTAATCCCAGCTACTCAGGAGGCTGAGGCAAGATAATCACATGAACCCTGGAGGCGGAGGTTGCAGCGAGCCGAGATCACACCACTGCACTCCAGCCTGGGCGACAGAGCAAGACTCCATCTCAAAATAATAATAATAATAATAATAATTTCATAATATTTTAGGAAAGTTTATGAATTTGTGTTAAGCCACATTCAAAGCCATCCCAGGCTCGTGGGTTGGACAATCTTGGCTTAGACTCTCTAATACAATGTAAATACTGAGTAAATAACTGTTCTATTTTATATATTTTGTATTTTTTAATTGTATTGTTGTTTTTTCGCTAATATTTTTGACGTGTGGTTGGTTGAACCTGTGGATATGGAGGGCCCACTGTATGTTTAAATTAATGAACAATTAAATGCCTGTAATATGCCATGTTCTCACTGTAACCCCATGAGGTAGATATTATTATCATTCCCAGTTTTCACCTCCTTGACCTGTTTGAGTTTCCTCATGAGGTATCATTTGAACAAAAGATTCTACAGCTGAGAAAGCTAGGAGGTCTGTGCACTATGGCAGGCTACCTTTCGTGCTGCCTGAGCTCATAGTATGGACAGTTTTTTTTCTTTTTGAGGTAAGGTCTTGCTCTGTCGCCCAGGTCGATCTCGAATTCCTGGCCTCAAGCAATCATCTTGCACAAAGTGCTAGGATTACAGATGTGAGCCACTATGCTCAGTCTTAAACTTTATTCAGGAATTGTTGCTGGCCAGGTGTGGTGGCTCACGCTTATAATTCCAGCACTTTGGAAGGCCAAGGTGGGACCATCGCTTGAGTCCCAGAGTTTAAGACCAGCCTAGGCAACATAGTGAGATCATGTCTCTACAAAAAAATTTAAAAATTCGCCGGGCATAGTGGTGTGTGCCTGTAGTCCCAGCTACTTGGGGAGGCTGAGATGGGAAGATTGCTTTAGCCTGGGAGGTTGAGGCTGCAGTCAGCTGTGATCATGCCAGTGCACTCCAGCCTGGGTAACAGAGCAAGACCCTTTCTCCAAAAAAAAAAAAAATTATTCGCTGACTTTGGCCTGAGATATTTAGGTTGTGTCTTGGCTTGGGTTTATTTTTTCGTACTTTCCTTCCTCTCAGGTGGTCTGGCTCAGGACCTGAAAGCTGCCGCCAGGTGCTTTTTGATGGCGTGTGAGAAGCCCGGAAAGAAGTCTATAGCAGCATGTCACAACGTTGGCCTCCTGGCACATGATGGACAGGTTAATGAGGATGGCCAGCCTGACCTGGGGAAGGCCAGGGACTACTACACAAGGGCCTGTGATGGTGGCTATGCTTCCAGCTGCTTCAACCTCAGTGCCATGTTCCTGCAGGGTGCCCCAGGCTTTCCTAAGGACATGGACCTGGCATGTAAATACTCCATGAAAGCCTGTGATCTGGGTCATATCTGGGCCTGTGCCAATGCCAGTCGCATGTACAAGCTGGGGGATGGTGTTGATAAGGATGAGGCCAAGGCCGAGGTGCTAAAAAATCGAGCCCAGCAGCTACACAAAGAACAGGAGAAAGGTGTCCAACCCTTAACTTTTGGGTAATGTGGCCCACCCTGCCTCCCAGGCAGCAAACTGCTTGAGGCTGGTAGCTCCTGTTTCTGAAGACTGATGCAGCCCTTGAAGGTCAACCTGCTGCAGCAAGAAAACTTGGGACTTGAATTGGTAGCTCCCGTTATATGAATTCATTGCCCCAGCTACTGAAGTGTAGCCTACAATGTTTATTTCAGTCAATATTCCTTTATCTGGGTGTTCTGTACAATGTTTATTACAGTCAATATTCCTTCATCTGGGGGTGTTCTGTGAAGATAGCCATGTCTATGGGGATCTTAGTTTTCAAACTCTGGCAATTCTGTGAAAAATAGGAGCAAACTAGAGAGCCCTAGAAATTGGTGGTAGGGAGGGGAGGATAGCAGGAAGTTTTAAAAATTAGCAGCCCCGGGGCCTAAAGGAATCAGCTATCATCATTTTCATCATTATTATTATTATTTTGGTTAGGATGGCTTGAAAATCAGAACATATCTTGGTTTACATAATCGAGGTCTTAAAGAGCTAGGAACAGTTAAATAGTCCCGACTGCCAGCGTCTGACTTACATAATCATTGATGTGGGCTTCATTTTGCGTTTAGAGTCACATCTTTCAGTAAATTCACAGAGATCAAGAGGGATGTGCAACATACAGCTTAAAGTCTGTTATGCTTCAGAGTTGCTGAAGAAGATGAAACATCAGCCTGCCATCGTCTAGAAGAGACATTGGCAGTTAAAAATTAGCACCTCCAGTGTAGTTGCCTGGCACTGCCCATCATGCTGAGGGAGCAGATTCTTCCCAAGGCAGCTTCAGCTAGGAGTTTGTAAGCAAGGACTTTGTGACACATTTGGCCCCTTTAACTGAGCCTTTTTCACTGTCCCTGTGAATAAACAATTTTGAGTGACTTGCAGTTTGTGTTAGTGTTCTTTCCAGATTCCAGGTACCGCAGAGAGTATGTTCTTTGTGGTGGTTGTGCCTTTTAAGAACATTTGCAGTCAGGCGCGGTGGCTCAAGCCTGTAATCCCAGCACTTTGGGAGGCCGAGGCGGGCAGATCACGAGGTCAGGAGATTGAGACCATCCTGGCTAACACGGTGAAACCCCGTCTCTACTAAAAATACAAAAAATTAGCCGGGCATGGTGGTGGGCACCTGTAGTCCCAGCTACTCAGGAGGCTGAGGCAGAAGAATGGCATGAACCCGGGAGGCAGAGCTTGCAGTGAGCCAAGATCGCGCCACTGCACTCCAGCCTGGGCGACAGAGTAAGACTCCGTCTCAAAAAAAAAAAAAAAAAAAAAATTTGCTTTTCCTGTTATCTCCCCAGCTTGTCACCAGGGGGCAAGCTTGTCATTTCCCTGCTGAAAACAATACCATTCTGTCTGTCACCATCTACTGTTTTAGGCTTTTGTTTTGCAGCCGTCCTGAAAGGAAGGCTTGCTGTGTAAATGAAGGTTTGTGAGCACAGCAGCCAGCTTCTTAAGTTGACAGAGGACGAGGACTTCCCCAAGTGCACAGAGGAGATTTCAAAAGACATCAAGTTCACTTTTTTAAAATGTAAAGTAGCTTTTGGTGTGGTTAAAATAAGCTAGGTCAGACCAGGCGTGGTGGCTCATGCCTGTAATCCTAGCATTTTGGGAAGCCAAGGCAGGTGGATCACTTGAGGTCAGGAGTTTGAGATCAGCCTGGCCAACTTGACGAAACCCCTTTCTCTACTAAAAATACAAAAATTAGCCAGGTGTGGCAGGCACCTGTAATCCCCGCTACCTGGGAGGTTGAGGCAAGAGAATTGCTTGAACCTGGGAGGCAGAGGTTGCAGTGTGCCACTGCACTCCAGCCTGGGCAATACAGCAAGACTCTGTTTCAAAAACAAAAGCAAAACTAGGCTGGGTGCAGTGGCTCACGCTTGTAATCCCAGCACTTTAGGAGGCTGAGGCAGGTGGATCACGAGGTCAGGAGTTCGAGACCAGCCTGGCCAACATAGTGAAACCCCATCTCTACTAAAAATACAAAAATTATCTGGGTGTGGTGGTGGGCACCTATTGTCCCAGCTACTCGGGAGGCTGAGGCAGGAGAATTGCTTGAACCCAGGAGGCAGAGGTTACAGTAAGCCAAGACCACGCCATTACGCTCCAGCCTGTTAACAGAGTGAGACAAAACACACACACACACACACACACACACACACACACACACACAGCTGTAGGTCAAAAAACATGAATACATGTTCAACATCACTAATCAGGGAAATGCAAATCAAAACCACAATGAACTCTTAAAATTCCACAGTAAGCAAACAACCTGATTAAAAAACAAGCCAAAACCCTTAACATATCTCAGCAAAGAAGATAGACAGGTGGCAAACAAGCATACAAAAAGATGCTCCATATAACATGTCATCAGGAAAATGCAAGTTAGAACACCAGACCACTATACAACTATTAGAATGGCCAAAATCCAAAACACTGACAGCATGAAATGCTGGGAAAGTTGGAGCAACCAGAATTCTTATTTCTTGCTGATGGGAACACAAGATGGCACAGCCACTTTGGAAGACAGTTAAGCGGTTTCTTACAAAAACTAAGCAAGCTCTTAACCATGTGATCCAGCAATCTTGATCTTTAGTATTTACCTGAAGGAATTCAAAACATGTCCACACAAAAACTAGCACATGATGTTTATAGCAGCTTTATTTATAATTGCCAAAATTCAAACCAAAATGTCTTTCAGTAGGTAAACGGGTAAATAAATTGTGGTGCATCTAGACATTATTCAGTGCTTAAATCAAGCTATGAAAAATTATGAGTTATCAAGCTCTAAAAAGTTACAGAGGAACTTTAAATGAATGCTACTAAATGAAGCCAGTCTGAAAAAGCTTCATATTAAATGATGCCAACTATATGACAATGGGATGTATTCTGGAAAACCAAAACTATGGAGACAGTAAAAACCAATAGACGGGGGAGGGGAGGGAGGAATAATTGGAATGCAGAAGATTTTTAGGGGCAGTGAAGTTACTCTGTATGATACTATAATGATAGATACCTGTCATTGTCCAACCCCCTAAAATGTACAACACCAAGAGTGAACCCTAATGTAAACGGTGGACTTGGAGTGATAATGATGTGTCGGTGTAGGTTCATCAATTACTGCAAATGTACCTCTTTGGTGGGAGATGTTGATAATGGCGGAGACTATGCATGTGTGGGGACGACTATATGGGAAATCTCTGTACCTTCTCAATTTTGCTGTAAACCTAAAATTGCTCTAAAATATAAAGTCTCTAAAATACAAAACCACAGTGATATTGCCTCATATTCCATTAGGATGGCTACTATTAAACACAAAAACAAAGTAAGTGTTGTCAAGGATGTAGAGAAATTAGAACCCTGTGCACTGGTGCAGCTGCCCCAAAATGAAAAACAGAATTGCCGTTTGATCCAGCCATTCCACTTCTGGGTACATATCTGTGTTAGGCCATTCTTACATTGCTATAAAGAAATACCTGAGGCTGGGTAATTTATAAAGAAAAGTTTAATTGGCTCTCAGTTCTGCTGGCTGTACAGGAAGCATGGTGCTGTGCATCCTGTTGGCTTCTGGTGAGGCCTCAGAAGCTTACAATCATGGTGGAAGGCACAGGGGGAGCCGGTGTATCACATGGTGAGAAGGCAAGAGCAGGAGCAAGAGAGCGAGCAAGGGGAGATACTACACACAGATCTCCTGAGAACAGCACCAAGGGGAGGGTCCCAAACCATTCATGAGAAATCCAAACCATGATCCAATCACCTCCCACTAACCCCACCTCCAACACTGGGGATTACATTTCAACATGAGATTTGTAGGGGACAAATATCCAAGCTATTTATATCCAAAAGAATTGAAAGCAGGGTCTTCAAGAGGTATCTATACCCATATTCTTAGCAGCACTGTTCACAGTGGCCAAGGGGTAGAAGGAACCCAAATGCCCATCAGCAGATTACACAAAAGGTGGGATGTATGTGCGATGGAATATTATTCAGCCTGTGAAAGGAAGGAAATTCTGACACATGCCACACAACATGGCTGAACCTTGAGGACATCACGCTAAGAGAGTCACAAAAAGACATGCTGTGTATGAGGCATCTGAACTCAGGTATGAGTTGTATATAAACTCAGAAACAGAAAGTACAGGTGGTTGCCAGGGGCTGGGGTGAGGGGGAAATGAATTTTTTGCTTTTGGTTTTGTTTTGAGATAGGCTTTTGCTCTATTGCGTAGGCTGGAATGCAGTGGTGCTAGTATAGCTCACTGCAGCCTCTAACTCCTGGGCTCAGGTGATCCTCCCACCTCAGCTTCCTGATAGGTACACACCACCACACCCAGTTAGTTTTTATAGAGATGAGGTTTTGCCATATTGCCCAGGCTGGTCTTAAACTCCTGAGCTCAAGTGATGCTTCCACCTCGGCCTCCCAAAGTTCTGGGATTATAGGTGTGAGCCACCATGCCTGGCCAAAATGAGTTGTTTAATAGGTAAAGAGTTTCAAATTTGTAAGATGAAAAAATAATGGAGATTGTTACACAACAAATGTGAATATACTTAACACTACTGAACTATATGTTTAAAAATGGTTAACCTAGCCTGGCTTACATGGTGAAACCTTCTCTCTACTAAAGATACAAAAATTAGCTGGGCGTGGTGGCATGTGCCTGTAGTCCCAAAGACTCGGGAGGTTGAGGCACGAGAATTGGATCTGGGAGGTGGAGGTTGCAATGAGCTGAGATCGCACCACTACACTCTAGCCTGGGCAAAAAAGTGAGACTCCATCTCAAAATAAATAAATAAATAAATAAGTAAATAAATAAATAAAAGGGGTTAAGATGGTAAATTTTATGTTTTACCACAATTTAAAAATATATATATTGACTTTAAAAAAATGCAAGGTTTGAACTTTTTTATTGTAAAATTAGTATGTTCTCATAAAATGCAATTTGAAACAGAAACCATTGCCCCTCACTATTCTTTACCACCTATGGGCATTCTTTGGTACAATAGTGTTCTTGTTATTTAACCATTTTTCTAAAGAATCATTTTTTTTTGAGATGGTATCACCCAGGCTAGAGTGCAGTGGCGCGATCTCAGCTCACTGCAACCTCTACCTCCCAGGTTCAGGTGATCCCCCAGCCTCAGCCTCTTGAGTAGCTGGGATTACAGGCGCCTGCCACCACACCCAGCTATTTTTTGTATTTTTAGTAGAGATGGGTTTTCACCATGTTGGCCAGGCTGGTCTCTAACTCCTGACCTCAGGTGATCCACCCAGCTCGGCCTCCCAAAGTGCTAGGATTACAGGCATGAGCCATTATGCCCTGCCAAGAATCATATCTTTTCAATTAACAGGTTTTGTAATTTTTTTTTTTTCTTTTTGAGACAGGGTCTCTTTCTGTCACCTAGGCTGGAGTGCAGTGGTGCAATCATAGCTCATTGCAGCCTCAACCTCCCGGGTTCAGGTGATCCTCCTACCTCAGTCTCCCAAGTAACTAGGGACTACATGTGCATTACACCATGCCCAGTTAGTTTTCATATTTTTTGTAGATATGGTGTCTCACTGTTGTTGCCCAGGCTGGTCTCAAACTCCTGGGCTCAAGCGATCCTCCTGCCTCAGCCTCCCAATATGCTAGGATTATAGACATGAGCCACTGTGCCTGGCTGGGTTTTGGGTTTTATAATTTTGAAGAAGTAAGTTTGATTTTTGGGTGGCAGATGTACTGCTTTTTTTTTTTTTTTTTTTTTGAGATGGAACTTCACTCTTGTTGGCCAGGCTGGAGTGCAATGGCGTGATCTCAGCTCACTGCAACCTCCGCCTCCCGGGTTCAAGCGATTCTCCTGTCTCAGCCTCTTGAGTAGCTGAGATTACAGGCATGTGCCACCATGCCCGGCTAAT